TGCGAGACGGAGATGTTCATCGAGGGCCGCGTGAACGGCTTCAAGGTGAAGATGGACGCCCTCCCTCTCTCGGAGGAGTACAAGCGCCGTAAGGAGGAGGCGAATAACTAGGGGTACATCGGAGAAAGACAAAGAAGAAGGAAAGGCAAGAAGAGGCAGAGGAGCCATGATTGATGGTGAAAAGGAATAGAAAAATATCAACAACCGGGAAAAAAACACCACATGGTGAAAGTAAAAGAGAAAGATCCCGAATGTGTAGAGGATGTATCTAGTATCGGTTGTTTCTTTCTGACTGATGTTTTTTTTTTGTGTACTTTTTTTTGAGTTTTCTCTTATGATTGTTGCCTGTCTTTATTGTTGTTGTGGATACGTCGTTTGCTCTGCGTGTGCGGTGTTGGTATGTGCGCCTTGGTGCGTGCTGCGGTGGGGGACGAAGGGAGCGGGCCGCCCCGTTCCACCTTCACCTGCCGTTTCGGGTGGCGGATTGCTCTGCAGCGGATTCCCCGGTGAATGTGGCTGAACGCAGTTGCATATAGACGGCAATCCACTGCCTGCAGGCTGCGGCCTGTGTTTCTCACCACCACCGCCAGCCGCCGCCGCTGGCGCACTCTCCGTGTCGTGCGTGCGGCTGCGCGTGTGTGTGTGTGTGGTGGGGAGGGGCGGCACTGGGCGCCGCGGAGACGGTGGTTGCGGCACTGTGTGGGAAAGGGGGCGGGGACGTGAGAAGCAGACACACACGCACACTCTCGTTTGCCCACTGATGCAGACACACGGAGAAGACAACGTTACACACACGTACGTTATATCTATATCTCTCTCTCTATATATATATATGAAGAAAACCAATACAACTTCGAAAAAAATCAACCGAAACAAACCAACAAGCCGCGCGGGGGAGAGAGTGAGACGTGCCAGAACTTCCAAAATACTCCTCTGCGTATTGCTGGCATCTGCCGAGACAACGGTCTGTGACGGCCGGGCCCAGACAGATGGGATGTGGAAAAGGGATTCTGAAATGGGTATGCCTGCGCGGTGGAAGGACGGTGAGCGAGAAAGACTACGCTCACGGTGGATGAACAGACCGCATGCGTGCACTGCTTTGCGCAAGAAGTAACAGCGACAAGAAGGAAAGAGCGGGAAGGGGGATGGAGGGCAGCAAGTGCCAGAGATAGGAGCGCCTCACGGCATCAAAGTGCGGAGGCCCTCCCAATACCTTTTCCTTTTCCTTTTTTTTCTTTGCCTTCAGGCCCTTCTCCTTTTGGTTGTTTCTGTTTTCCTTTTTTTTGTCGTTTCGTTTCTTGGTTCTTCAGGACTTGGGAAATAGGAGAAAGAAAACAAAAATGGAAGGAACATATGCAAGTTGCGCGAAAGGAGCTCTCTCCCTGCTGCACGACTCCGCCTCTGTTTCCCCCCTTTCTCCCTCATGTGTGTCTGCGTGTGAGTCTGTGTGTGTGTGTGTGTGTGTGTGTGTGAAATGGGTTGGGGTTTTTATTGGCGTCTCTGTGTACGTGTGTGTTTCGTTCTCCCTCGTGTGGCTATCTGCCTCTCTCCTCCCGTGATGCGCTCTGCGAATGCGCGTGGTCTCGACTGCGCAACATATGTTGTATATCCCTTTGTAGAAACACGGACGGGATGGCTGCACCGATGCGTGTTGTCTCGTGCCATGACGCACCCCATGCGCCTGCAACACGTTTCGTGAAGGTGCGAAGACATGACGAGTCTGCCTTTTTTTTTGTTTTGTTCCTGGCTTATGATGCGGGCAATCTCTCCCCACCGCTTTCTCCCCCTGCTCTCTTGCTTTCTCTTTCTCTCTCTCCCTCTCTCCCTCCCTCTCTTCTGTTGCCGTGGGACAGAAGCAGACAAACGCTGGCGAACAATGGGCTGCGGTGCCTCTTCGAAACCAGAGATCGACTTCAAGAATGGCAAGCCGACGTTCAAAGGCGACGAGATCGTGCGCGGATTCAGCGAAGGCAACGGCTTGCTTTTCCGCATCGCGAACAACAAGAAGAAGCAGTGGGCGTACTACAACGACACGACGCAGTACGAGATGCACGTGAAGGTGACATTCGGCGAGGACTGCGACATCAAGGCGCTGGGCAAGACGCACCTGGAGCGGCTGGACACGGGCGAGTACGTGGCGACCATCGTGGTGTACCCGTGCGAGACGGAGATGTTCATCGAGGGCCGCGTGAACGGCTTCAAGGTGAGGATGGACGCCCTCCCTCTCTCGGAGGAGTACAAGCGCCGCTGAGTCTGTGGTGGGAGGTGAAGTAANCGGGCGAGTACGTGGCGACCATCGTGGTGTACCCGTGCGAGACGGAGATGTTCATCGAGGGCCGCGTGAACGGCTTCAAGGTGAAGATGGACGCCCTCCCTCTCTCGGAGGAGTACAAGCGCCGCTGAGTCTGTGGTGGGAGGTGAAGTAACGATGAGAAAGGGGATAAACAAAACCTTTTGCGTTGCGAGGGGAAAGAAATGTTGTGTTTCTTGTTGGGCTCATGCTTTTACATGCGGATGTTTTTTTTTTTTTGTTTTACTTTGTGCTTTCATTTTTTTTCCTTTTTTGTTGCTACCTTCGGTCCTTTAGTACCCCTCCTTGTGGTTTGCGTTTCTTTCGCGGGGGTCCCGCATTCCTCGCCAAGGCGCTGGAACGGGCAGAAGGACTTGGAGCTTCCACGCTTCTCGCGGACGTGTCGTGCTGCTTTGCTGCCGCGGCTCTGTTTGTTCTTTTGATGAACGGCGCAGTTATGTAGATGCACACTCACAGATATAGAGACATACACATGCACACACGCGGAGATGTATGTATATATATATATATGTATGTGTGTGTCTATGTATGTATGTGTGTCTGTGTGTGGATATTGTAAAGAAACGGGGTGCGATAGCTGTTGGTCCCAATAATGGTGGTGATAGCCTCTATTTTCTTTGCTGTCGGCATACACACTCAAGAATCGTGGGATTGTAAAAAAAAAAAAAAAGGAATATAGGGAAACGTGAATTTTAAACGCACAGAAAACGTTGGAAGTAGAGAGGAAGGGGAGCGAAGTGGCGTTGGTTGACGGGAAACATAAGTCTGTACTCTGACCTTTTCCCCTCCTACTCTATTCACCATGAACGCGTACCGTGGCATTATTGTAACCACTACCATCATGATGAGGAAGTATAAGCAGGAGTGAAGATGGGGTGGGGTGGGACGAGAGGCCATCATCTGTTGGGTATTGTGTTAAAAATGTGTTCCTTCTTTGCTCATCACTGTGGATGAGCTGGTGTGTGTGTGTTTGTGTGTGTGTCTGTGTGACAGGGGTGGGAAAAGCGCCTCCGTACCTTTGTTTTCGTTATACTTACACTGGTATACATACATACATACATACATANTATCTTTTGATGTGTGTGTGTCTGCGGAGAGCTGCGGTGGCGTACATACACGCATACATACGTACATAAGCTTTCAAAATTTTTTTTGTGTTTATTGGAGAGGTGCGCACACAATCATTTCTCACTATGCACATTTTTACATTCACAGCGACCCCCCGAAAGAAAAATGTGTGCGAGTTGTTTTTTTCCCTTATCTTCGTCTCTCAGCCTTGCACGTGCATTAAATATATATATATATATATATATTTAATACTTCACGCAAAACACACACACACACACACTTGTGCGCCTTCGTATTGCGTTCTTGCTTGCGATGCTGTTTGCACCTTCCCCCTTCGCCCGCTTCCAGCCCACTGTGCTGCTACTCGCGGGGGAGAGGAGGGGGGGAAGGGCGGCGCAGGCGAAAGAGACGGCGTCTTTCCATTTCCCTTTCCCTTCCTCCTCCTCCTACTCTTAGTTTCCGTGGCCGCCGCACATGCGGCGCTCCGCCATTCTGCGGCGCACATCCCGCCGTAGTCCGGGCGGGTGGACGGATCCAACGCTGCAACAGGCGGCTGCCTATGCGAAGGGCGGTGCAACCACCGGTGGGCCGTCAACGACGTTTGCGAGCGCCAACTCCTCTGCGGTGCGGCGGGCGTTTGGCGTGGAGGACTTCTCAATGATTGAGCGGCAGCAGATGACCCTCACCAAGTTGCTGCGCATGACGATGGATGCTACGTTTAAGCCGAAGGACCCTGACAGCCGCTCAAATGGTGGCGACGGCGCCACGCAGCGGGCGGCACTGCGCGAGGAGCTCAAGACAATGGACAACCGCATTACTCCCTTCGCCCACGACGACATCCTCAACGACTACCTCAAGAACATTGTCGGGATCAGCGGCCCGTCGGGACAACAGGGCGACAGGGAGTTGTTGCGGGGGCGATTGGTTGGCCTACTCTTCTTCACAGAGTCGGAGCGATCGCTGTCATTTATGCGGAGACTCCAGCCCGTTCACCAGACGCATCGCCAGGATTTTGTCGTTGTTGCCATTTCGCTGGCAGGCAAAGAGATGATGGACGTGACACGACAGTACGGCTTCTTCCACTGCACCCATCGCAACGGTGCGACGTGGGTGAAACGGGATGCGGGTCTTATGGTGCGACCGGTGACGCCTCTCCCGCGCCTGATTGTGGTTGACGGCACAACTGGTGCAGAAATCACGCGCAGTGGCGTCACAGCGGTGATAACGCACCCCGACACGTGCTTCGCCGCGTGGCGTTGCGGGGAACCTGGCCACGAGTGGTGGGACTACTTCAAAACGCTTTACATCTAGAGGTGCCTGTCCGCCGTTCTGTCTTAACTCTCGGTGTGCCGTGTCAAAGGGAGAGACTAGAAGAAAAGAAGGCAAGCAAGAAAAGAGGAAAATGGACCACACCCGGCAACTGAGAATAGCACTCTGCGCTGCAGCTTGTCGCGCGCAGGTGTGTGTCTCTGTGTGACTCTGTTGCTGTGCGGGGGCCGTCTTGATGTGCTCTTCTCTCATTTCTCTACAACACTATCCTCAGTGTTTGCGCACAGCAAGCAGCGGGGGACGTGCGTTCGCCCACGCCGTTGGCTGTACTCGCTGGATTGGCTAGTGAAACGTATATACACACAGATCCAAGGACCCGTGGCACGTTGCAAAGCAAACAAAAGAAAACACACACGCACACACAGAACGGGCCGGAAAGAAAAAAAAAAAATAAAGAAACAGTTTAGAGATGGGCAGTGGTGCCTCGCGGAAAAGGCAGGCAGACGACCTCGCCGCAGCCACTACAACCAGTCGCATCAAATACCGGAACGGCCGCCCAAAAGTCCACGGCGACGAAATCATTGGCTGCTTTAGTACCAGTGACGACACGGGAAAGGTAGTAGCGCCTCCTGGACTCCTCTACCGCATCGTGATGCGGGAAAAACGCCAGTGGTACTTTTACAATGATACAAAAACCTACAATATGGTAATCACGGGGTACTTTGGTGCCCTCAATATCATCAAGGCCTTGGGAAAGGCAAAGATGTGGCGTGAGATGCCAAGTGGGCTTCTCATCGTCGAGCTCGTCGTGCCGCCATTGCAGACGGAGCCGTACCTAGAGGGAATCGTCACGGATGGTTTTGACCTGCGCTTCAGGGCCACGCTGGTCTAAAAATAAGGAAGGCCTTGTTATGTGTCCAGCAGAAAAAAAAATATGCGCCTATATGTGATGCACGTAGAAAGGTGTCTCAACGCCGTCTATTCGTTTATCTAACACGGAATTGTCTGGGGTTGCTGTGTACTGCTCGCCCCTCGCGTGAGGTTTCACGTAAACATCCGCATCAGCTCTTTGGTTTCACTTAAATACTGTGGCAGTCTCCAGTACAAAAATATCTATATCGATATATATATATATATATAAACGCCACAAGGATCTCTTACAGATGTAGTTGATATGTTTTCTATACCTCTCATTTCTACAATGGCGCCTGATAAAGAAGGGAATCAAGGAGAACCATTCCTCGCCATGCACAATACAAACAAGAAGCTTCCCGCAAACAAGAATGTGAAGATTCACAAAAAAAAACACACATCCTTAGCTCAGTCATATTAAAATGCGCTGCCACGTGTGTGTGTGTGTGCTAGTTGACCACTGTTACTTCCTCCTTCGCCTCCCCCGCTCCCGCTCTCTCTCTCTCTCTCTCTCTCTCTCTCTGACTCCCCCTCCCACGCGTGCCCGTGCCTCGCGCTGTGCGGTTAGTCATAGCTAAGCTTTCGAGCTCTTCTTCAAACACTCCACAAGACTCTTTTTTCTTCCAAGATGCGTGAGGCGATCTGCATCCACATCGGCCAGGCCGGTTGCCAGGTGGGTAACGCGTGCTGGGAGCTGTTCTGCCTTGAGCACGGCATCCAGCCTGACGGCGCGATGCCGTCGGACAAGACGATCGGCGCGGAGGACGACGCGTTCAACACGTTCTTCTCTGAGACCGGCGCCGGCAAGCACGTGCCGCGCGCGGTGTTCCTCGACCTGGAGCCGACGGTGGTGGACGAGATCCGCACGGGCACCTACCGCCAGCTGTTCCACCCCGAGCAGCTGATCTCCGGCAAGGAGGACGCCGCGAACAACTACGCTCGTGGCCACTACACGATCGGCAAGGAGATCGTGGACCTGTGCCTCGACCGCATCCGCAAGCTCGCGGACAACTGCACTGGTCTGCAGGGCTTCCTCGTGTACCACGCGGTGGGCGGTGGCACGGGCTCCGGCCTTGGTGCGCTGCTGCTGGAGCGCCTCTCCGTGGACTACGGCAAGAAGTCCAAGCTGGGCTACACGGTGTACCCGTCCCCGCAGGTGTCGACGGCCGTGGTGGAGCCCTACAACTCGGTGCTCTCGACGCACTCGCTGCTCGAGCACACCGATGTTGCGGCGATGCTTGACAACGAGGCGATCTACGATCTGACCCGTCGCAACCTCGACATTGAGCGCCCGACGTACACGAACCTGAACCGTCTCATCGGCCAGGTTGTCTCCTCGCTGACGGCGTCGCTGCGCTTCGACGGCGCGCTGAACGTGGACCTGACGGAGTTCCAGACCAACTTGGTGCCGTACCCGCGTATCCACTTCGTGCTGACGAGCTACGCGCCTGTGATCTCGGCGGAGAAGGCGTACCACGAGCAGCTCTCCGTCGCGGAGATCTCGAACGCGGTGTTCGAGCCGGCGTCGATGATGACGAAGTGCGACCCCCGCCACGGCAAGTACATGGCGTGCTGCCTCATGTACCGCGGCGACGTTGTGCCGAAGGACGTGAACGCTGCCGTCGCGACCATCAAGACGAAGCGCACGATCCAGTTCGTGGACTGGTCGCCCACTGGCTTCAAGGTCGGCATCAACTACCAGCCGCCGACGGTGGTGCCCGGTGGCGACCTCGCCAAGGTGCAGCGCGCTGTGTGCATGATCGCCAACTCGACTGCCATCGCGGAGGTGTTCGCGCGCATCGACCACAAGTTCGACCTGATGTACAGCAAGCGCGCCTTCGTGCACTGGTACGTTGGTGAGGGTATGGAGGAGGGCGAGTTCTCCGAGGCCCGTGAGGACCTTGCCGCCCTCGAGAAGGACTACGAGGAGGTCGGCGCGGAGTCCGCGGACATGGAGGGCGAGGAGGATGTGGAGGAGTACTAGAGAGGGTGCCGCCGCTCCCCCTCCGCCGCGGGTGCCCGCTTGTGTGTGTACGTGTGCGCTTGACTGCCTTCGTGCGTGCGCGCGCGGGGGAGAGGGGGCTCAGGGGCGAAGGAGTAAGTGGGCAACCCCCACAGGAAGGAAAGAGGAAAAAAAGGGGGGACTACGATGTAGTGGGAAGAGGAGAGGAGCAGTGATGCCCCTCGGCCCCATTTTTTTTTTGTATCTTTAGTTTCGGTCTTTTTTTTTTTCTTGGCTCCCGGGATTTCGGGTTCCTGTGCTGTGGCGCGGTGGGGGGACGCCCCTGTCGCCTCTCCCCCGTTGCTCCTCCTCCCCGCCGCCCAAGCTGTGCGTCCGCTCTGCTCCTCTTTTTTTTCTGTGCCTTGTGCCCTTGCCCTTGCTTTCTCCGGCGCCCGCGGTGTAGAAAACCCGACGTTAGAGAGAAAGAGAGGAGAGCCAGGACCCCTTTGAAGGATCCCATTTCGTTATTTTCATTGAACAACAACTGAGCTCAAGATGCGCGAGATCGTGTGCATTCAGGCCGGCCAGTGCGGCAACCAGATCGGCTCGAAGTTCTGGGAGGTGATCAGCGACGAGCACGGCGTGGACCCGACCGGCACGTACCAGGGCGACTCGGACCTGCAGCTGGAGCGCATCAACGTGTACTTTGATGAGGCGACGGGCGGCCGCTACGTGCCCCGCGCGGTGCTGATCGACCTGGAGCCCGGCACGATGGACTCCGTGCGCGCTGGCCCGTACGGCCAGGTCTTCCGCCCGGACAACTTCATCTTCGGCCAGTCCGGCGCTGGCAACAACTGGGCCAAGGGCCACTACACGGAGGGCGCGGAGCTGATCGACTCTGTGCTGGATGTGTGCCGCAAGGAGGCGGAGAGCTGCGACTGCCTGCAGGGCTTCCAGATCGCCCACTCCCTCGGCGGTGGCACGGGCTCCGGCATGGGCACGCTGCTCATCTCGAAGCTGCGCGAGGAGTACCCGGACCGCATCATGATGACCTTCTCCATCATTCCGTCCCCCAAGGTGTCCGACACGGTCGTTGAGCCGTACAACACGACGCTCTCTGTGCACCAGCTGGTGGAGAACTCGGACGAGTCGATGTGCATTGACAACGAGGCCCTGTACGACATCTGCTTCCGTACGCTGAAGCTGACGACGCCGACGTTCGGCGACCTGAACCACTTGGTGTCCGCTGTGATGTCTGGTGTGACGTGCTGCCTGCGCTTCCCTGGCCAGCTCAACTCTGATCTGCGCAAGCTGGCGGTGAACCTTGTGCCCTTCCCGCGCCTGCACTTCTTCATGATGGGCTTCGCCCCGCTCACGAGCCGCGGCTCGCAGCAGTACCGCGGCCTGTCTGTGCCCGAGCTGACGCAGCAGATGTTCGATGCGAAGAACATGATGCAGGCTGCAGACCCGCGCCACGGCCGCTACCTGACGGCGTCCGCGCTCTTCCGCGGCCGCATGTCGACCAAGGAGGTGGACGAGCAGATGCTCAACGTGCAGAACAAGAACTCGTCCTACTTCATCGAGTGGATCCCGAACAACATCAAGTCCTCCATCTGCGACATCCCGCCCAAGGGCCTCAAGATGGCCGTCACCTTCATCGGCAACAACACCTGCATCCAGGAGATGTTCCGCCGCGTGGGTGAGCAGTTCACTGCCATGTTCCGCCGCAAGGCGTTCTTGCACTGGTACACGGGCGAGGGCATGGACGAGATGGAGTTCACCGAGGCGGAGTCCAACATGAACGATCTTGTGTCCGAGTACCAGCAGTACCAGGACGCCACCGTCGAGGAGGAGGGCGAGTTCGACGAGGAGGAGCAGTACTAAGCTGGAGCACAAGCAACAACGGTAGCTATGCGGTAGTGCGGGGGCGTGGGGACAAGAATGTACGGCGCCCGGCCCCGGCTCTCCCGCTCGTTTTCGTTTTCTTGTTTCCTTTTTTTTTGATTTGGGGAATTTCTGCGCGGGCTTCCGTTGATTCAACCCGGGAGGCGGCGGGCAGGGTCGTCGGCGAGCACACCGGCAGGGGGTGGGGAGTGGGGAGGGGTGCGGAGCAGAGGGGCGTCTGCAGGACTGCCTGTCTGTCCGTTTTCTCCCCTCCCCCCCCTTCCCTCTCTCTCTCTGTGTGTGTGTGTGTGTACTTGTGTGGCGTGGGGCCTGTTGTGCTCCGCGCTCCCTGTGCGCTCGCACCGCTGG